AAATTTCAGCATTAATGAGTAGCATTTAGTAGATAAATACTTCTGGGGAAACACCGTTTTTGAGAGAATTATCCTGGCGCATGTCTGCAAGGGGCCAGCAGGGGAGACTATGCTTAGGGGCAACCAAAATGGGTTCAGTAGAGGCAAGTCCTGTCAGACCAACCTGGCCTTTTATGACCAGGCCTTCTATGACCGGGCCACAAAATCCTTAGACGCAGGTGTAGCAGTGGACGTAGTCTTTCTGGACTTTAGGAAGGCCTTCGACACTGTCTCTCACCCCATTCTCATTTAAAAAACAACCAAAAAACTAGGGGACTGTGGCGTCAACACCTACACAGTCAAATGAGTTACTAACTGGCTGGAGGACCACACCCAGAGAGTGGTGGTGGACGGGTCTTATTCGACCTGGAGGGATGTGGGCAGTGGGGTTCTGCAGGGCTCAGTCCTCAGGCCCGCACTATTCAACATCTTCATCAGCGACTTGGACAAGGGGGTAAAAAGCACCCTGTTCAAATTCACAGATGACACTAATATGTGAGGGGAAGCGGGCATGCTAGAAGAGAGGAATAGACTGCAATTGGGCCTAGACAGGTTACAGGGTGGATGAGAACAGGATGGGTTTCAACACTGACAAGTGCAAGGTACTGCACCTGTCGGGGGAGAACCTGCAGGCTGGGGAACTCCCTTCTCGTCAGTACAGAGGCAGAAAAGGATCTTGGAGTCATTATTGATGCCAAAATGAATATGGGTCGACAGGAAGTCCAACCGTACCTTGTCATGCATCCACAGATGCATCTCAAGCAGGTCCAAGGAGGTGATCCTCCCCATCTGTGCAACACTGGTCAGGCCGCAGTTGGAGTACTGTGTCCAGTTCTGGGCGCCGCGCTTCAGGAGGGCTTTGGACAGCATGGAGCGGGTCCAGAGGAGGGCCACCCGCATGATCGGGGGCAGCAGAGTAGGCCCTATGAGGAGAGGCTAAGGGACCTGAACCTGTTCAACCTCCACAAGAGAAGGCTGAGGGGGGACCTAGTGACAGTTTACAAACTAGTCAGAGGGGACCAGCAGGCATTGGGGGAGTCCCTGTTCCCCTGAGCGCTACCAGGATTGACTAGAAATAACGGCCACAAGCTGGCAGAGGGTAGATTCGGACTAGACACCAGGAGGCGCTACTTCACTGTCAGGGCAGCTAGAATCTGGAACCAACTTCCAAGTGAAGTGGTGCTGGCTCCTACCCTGGGGGTCTTTAAGAGGAGGCTAGATGAACACCTTGCCAGGGTCGTTTGACCCCAGTACTCTTCCTGCCATGGCAGGGGGTCGGACTTGATGATCTGCTCAGGTCCCTTCTGACCCAACCAACTATAAGTATGTAACCTCGGGACTGGAGAAAAGCTGTATGCTAACCCAGAGTGAGCACCTAGAATGCAGGCAACATTGTTAACTGCTGCCAGCACTAAGACTTGTCATCTACAGCAGTCTCCCTTGCTTACCTTTGGCATTCCTTCACCCACTACTTCCCCCTCATCCCTGCCTCCCCTCCCTTATTTACCCATTGTTTTCCTAATTTTCACCTATTTACATTCTCACTGACCTCCTGTCACACTTTTAGCTTCTTTCATTCCTTGGAGATCTCAGAACAACAGCAAAGACTCCCAGTCCTGAAGTAGGGTGATTGCGCCTGAAAGCTTGCAAAGAACTTTTTTCCAACTACTCAGATGGTCTAATAAAAGATACCACACCTACTCAAAGAGCCTTGCTTTACCTTGCTAAGGCTCCTTACTTTCTTTCTCTGAAAACCTTTGCCTGGACTAGCAGCCTAGAAATTGACAGGACTTAGTTTCACAAATGTTGTAGTTAAACAGAATATTACAATATAAAATAGACAGCTGGAGCTAAAATATTCTTATGTATTTAACCAATATGCACTTGCTTATAACATAAGCAATACAAGTAACAAATAAGGATCAACATTGTGTTACACAGTTAAGCAAATTTAGGCCCTTAGATATTTGTGTAACCTGTACACTTCGTAAGCTTTCAAGAAATACCAGCTCAAAATAGCCACAGGGAGCTTAAGTAAATCCAGTGTAGTCAACAGCTGAATTTCTAGAAAAGAAAAATTCTTTTAAGGCATTGGAAGAGGTTGGCTTGGGACCCATAGTGTGGTATCTTACAGTGCATAAGACAGGATATTTTTATTCTTTAGTTTAGCAACCTTGTATTCCATTATTTTTTCCAGTATGTTACAACTAGGTTTGAAGTAACTATTGGAGATTCAAATGATCCGTATAGCAGAAGCTGCAGGTCAACACTACGTAGTTCAGCCAAGCAGCTTGAGTGAGGGAATTTTGTGAAGTTGGTGCTCCGTTTGTGACTTAAGGATCTTCACTGTACCTATGTTTGAGCCTGAAGTAAAATAAGAAAGAAGCAAAGATTTACATCTTTAAAATATGCTGATAAGCTGTGTGTGGACTTTTTTGTTTTTTTGTATAGGTTCAGCA